AGAAAATTTACTCACCTTGGTGGGACGTGAAGGAATGGATGGAGTCGCGGATGGAGTCATGGATCGCCTAGGTTATCGTCCCTGTACTTCTCTTTCAGCTTTAATAGCATAATGATATAATTGGGAAAATCTAGTCTATTCTTTATAGTCAAGAACATCATGTATTTCACGACGTAAACCTCCAAAAAATTTAGAACACTTATCCATATCATCCTCTTGTATGTTACTACGTGTTAGACCAATTAAAAGCTCCTGATAATATTCCTCAACAATTTTACTACCTTGATTTAAACATTGCAGTTTTAATCGCAGATCACGCTGATAGTATGGAGGAACAAATCTTGATTTCATTCGTCGTTTAAGTACAGTCCAGGTTTGAGGTATTTGAGCATTAGCATTAGCATTATTGCAAATATCATTCCACCAGAAAAGAGCAAAACTAGTAAACTCACTAGTAGCAAGTCTAACTCTATATTCTTTAGGTACTTTATGGGAGCTAAATTTTTTATCTACAGCCATCTCCCAATCTAAATATGCTTCAGGATCAGCAGAACCAGAAAAAGGAGGTATCTTAAACTTGGTTTTAGAGAAAGGATCATTATTACCTTGGTTGTTACCTCCCATACCGCGTCGATTAAAGTTTAACCGATTACGGTTACGTGCATCCTCAGCACGTCGTTGAGCTTCAGCTTCAGCCTCCGCGTCGCCATCGTCCTCCTCAGAGAGATCATCATCATCATCTTCAGGACATGGTTCAGGATGTCGTTGTTCAACATCTTCAATCCTCTTGGCCAAATTGGTGATTTGTTGAAGGATCTCATTGAACTTGTCATCAAGAACGGCACGAAGCTCATTCTTAGAAACACAGTCATTGAAATCTATAGGTGCATCCTCGTTTCCTTAGCCACCGCCTCCGGCTTTTCCTGACATGTATCCCTACCAACTACTTAGGTTGTGGACAAGGAAAAATAAGGCACTCAACTCTCAAGCGTCTTACCACGGTCTTACAAGTGTTCTTACCAAAGCAACAAGCGGTGCAATCGGTCGGTGACTGTGATACCGTTGTAGCTTGAGTGTAACAGTTGCAAGGCGAACCTGTACTTAGTTAGAAGAAAGTGAAGCTTGGACAGGCACAATATAGTAGCAAGGAATAACAAAATTCGCAATTGAATAGCAAAGCTGAATAAGTATCCCAAGTACTTGTCTTAGTTGCTGGCCTACTCACGTTTCAAGTACCAGATGTATCAAGTGATGTGAACAGCAAGAATATGATTAGGAACAAGGTAGAAATCAACACACGCAAACACAGCTCAAATGGCGCTCTCTATGTGCTCCTCTAGATATTGTTCCACTTTTGCCCCTCTCTTTTTTCTCTATTTTTGGGCTGTCGTTGTTTTTTGGGATTCTTTGACTTTTTCTTTTTATTTTTTTTTTGATATTTTTTCTTCACTTAGGAGCACAAAAGAAGTAACCACAGAAAATATGAGCTTCAACAAGTGAAAGACGTGGCCTGTGGAATTTCCAGAAGACGTGCTCGAAATCGACAAAGACCTTGTGACCACGAAAAGAGAATCTTGTGACCACTTTTTGACCAAAATAAAAATCTCCGACCCTGACAGAGCAGGGATGGACGGATCCGAATTATTTTTCTAATCGATTTTGATATATGGAACGTCGAAATCCGAGTTTGTATGCGAAAACTAGACCAGTTTTAAGAACGGACTCTGAATTAGAGGACAAAACGGGAACAATGTGCGCAAAATTGGTCACGACAGTAAGGATTTGATGAAAACAGTGAAGACAAGTGTAACAAATAAGATGGCGTGGACTAGGGTTTGATGAATACAAAGGAAACTCAACAAGACTTGGAGATGTTCACGGATTATGATGAAAAACAAAGAGGAAAACATAAACTGGACTAAAAAATGAGCTAAAACCAGCAACAAGAACTTGATCTAGGGCACAAACTCAACAACGCGAAACAGAGACGAAATTGCACGACACAATGAGGCTATAGGACAGGGAATATGTGATGATGTATATATTTTTTTTGGCTATTTGTGGACTATAGGTAATGCAAAAACAGTAACAATCTAAAGGGGAAAACAAAGTTATACCTAACGGGCAACAAGGTCTCTGATACCACTTGATGTAGACTTGGCCCGATCTTCCGAAAGGTATGATAGCGTCGATTGGTGGAGACTCGACGTTCACGATCTAGACTTCGAACCAAGATTGATTCGGACCCCCGCAACCGTTACGCCACTGCTCCGTTGGTTATCAACCACGCGAATGCGATTGACCTCGCCGAGAAGGCTTTCCTGCAAGCGAATCGAGAACACAAGCAAGAACGGGATGAATGCAATCTGAAATTGCAAATAAATATGAGGCTTATAAAATCAAGAAGGAGTTCAAGTCTTTATTCGAAAGGACTAATCGCCACAGGCGAACAAGATCAAGAAATGGGGCCCTGGTTCACAGCAAGCGGCCTTGGCGGCGACAGTTGCAGCAAAACGATATCTGTTTCACGAGGAAATCAAGAACTAAACAAAACTCAAACCCTAAGGAGAGCGACGGTTGCTATTTATAGAGTCTTGGGCGTCACCCCCCTGGACGCGCCCCCTAATGGGCCCAAACACGATACACGGTCCAACGGACTAAAAGACGGTGTCACAGCACCCTGGCAGATTCTGGACGATGACTTGTTTCGACAATTCCCGTTGATTCCGAAGGTCTTTTGACGTGAAACCACTTGGATTGGCTTCCTTATCAAATTAGCTTTCCAGCCATATATGGATCGTTGAAAACGGAGTCCGGATACGTCCTGGGTGACCAGTTTAAGGGAGACTGGTCCTGGAGCCCGAACCGGACTCGAACTTGAGTTGGACTGGGCTTCCACCATGAAAAAGATGAATTGGATGTCCATGCTGGACCTCCTCCTCTACTTGGCTTGTATGCGATGAAGTAGTGATGTCCTCATCAGCGGGCGTGGTGTGCCGGCGGTCTTGGCGTGGCGGTGGCGGCGGCATGGGCGATGGTGGTGGCCGGCGGAGCAAGGTGCTTGTTTTTTAATTTTTTCAAAAAATGTTTACCGAGTGTTTTTTTTTTTTGCACTCGGCGAAGTCTTAGCCGAGTGCCTGATGATTGACACTCGACAAACAGCTCTTTGCCGTTAAAACCTATGCCGAGTGACGTTTGCCAAGTGTTTTTGGGACGCTGGCACTCGGCAAAGCTCTTGGTTGTAGTGGCTGCTTATTAGTGATGGTGCAGATAACAGTCTATCCGATTGTACAAACACATTGGTCATCTTATGAAGCAGGGAATATAAGTATATAACAATCAACCTGATAAGAGAAGCAAGTGTATGTCAGTTGGCATAGCTATTTTCATTAAGATCGATCAATGAGATAAACAGCATAGCCACTGACCCTTTGGAATGCTAACAGAATTTTCAGAAAAAAAAATTCCGATAATTCAAAATCTATGAGCAAGAACATATCAGTCCAGATCACAACAGCAGTTCGGGAACTAACTTCTATGATTTCATTTGGTACATTCTATCAGTACAGGCCACAGGGACTACAAGCTGAACTGCTGGATCATGATGGCCCAGAAAAAAAGGGAATGCGCCTCTGATTTTATCTATGAAGGGAATGCACCTGTGGTTTTATCTATGAAGCTCAGCTAGCTACATAAACAATAAATAATGCACTTGTCTTACCATTCATATTTTCCAGCAGAATGATTGCCATGGTACCAAAGTGGACACGTTTGATGTGCAAAAGTGAAGACTCAATGCCCCAGATCTTCACATCATTGTCGGTTCAAAAACCCAACAGCGACATACCAGCAGTGATGAAGGAGGCTCATCACTACCGGTTATAAAAAACTAACAATGATACGGTGTTCAGGAAATCCAAAAAAACATGAAAATATTTTTTTAATTCTAGGAGAGGCCCTACTGGACAGCCACACGGCCGCGCGTCACAAGTCACAAGATTTTTCACGCGAAAAACGAGTGTTTCACGGCCACCGACGCTCGAACCCTTGACCTCTTGCTTGGTGTCTTTGGCCCCTAACCACTCCACTTGCAAGTTGTTTGTGTCCAAATGAGATTTTTATCCTAGCCATTTTATGTTCATCTGATTTTGAAATGAGTACTTGACTAAAACCGACAGTGATGACCCAATATCACTGTCGGTTCTTGGCTAAAACCGACAGTGAAGACCTGAATATCAGCGTCGGTTGGTCCTATCAGTGCCGGTTTTAGCCAAAAACCAGCAGTGATGGGCTATCAATGTCGGTTTCTTAAAATCCAACAGTGATGAGGCCGGTAGTGATATCCAATACTGTAGTAGTGACTGCAAAGTATTCAACAAGAAGATCTGGAGCCACTATTCAAAACATATATTAACTAATTGGTTTTCTTTGTTCTGATAAAAGAAATACAAAAAAGATACATGAGGTGTTTTTTCAATTATTAATATGTTTGTGACAAGTATAGATAATTTAACAAACTAAAAATCCTTTTGTGGGCATCCTTAGATAAATACAACTGCCATGCACACAAGCAGTACATTTTAACAGTACGGTTGGATAGAAAAGAAATTACCAACGTCTCTACCACTAAAACATTTGCAGACCAATCGTTCACCGGCAGACGAAACCCACCCCGACTCCTTCACCCCCGGCGCAATTTTTACTGCGCCGACAGGTGGGGCCACACCCGCACCATCTGACACCACTCGCTCGTATGATTGCCTCTCGGAGTCTCGGGCTGCCACCGCAGCTACACCGCGCACTCCTTTGCCGCCCCGTCGCCATGACCGACACGGCAGTCAACGCGATGGGTCTCTGCGGCAGCACTGCCTCCGGCCCTCCGCGTCTCGGCCCCACGCCGTAGGAGCCGTGGTCGGGCCTCGGCATCCTAGCCCCACGCCGTAGGAGCCGTGGGGGTCGAAGCGGGGTACGAGCCGGTGCGAAAGGCGGAGCCGGTGACCATGACCGCCATGCTGCTCACGCTCCACGAGACGGAGGCCGAGCGGGAGGGGCGGATCGGGCTGCTACAACCCCTACGTCGTGCCCTCTGCCGCCGCCCCACTACCGGCGCCATGAACAACGCGGCGGCCCGCGCAGCGGGTCCCCGCGGCAGCGCTGGCATCCGCATCCCAACGCCATGCCGTAGCAGCTGTGGCCATGGGGGCCGGAGCGGGGTGCGAGCCGGCACGGGAGGCATGGCCCGTAAGACAATGTGTGTCTCGTGCTCCATGAGACGGAGGTCAAGCAGGAGCCACGGATCCACGGCAAGTTCGCCAGCTTCGACACCGCGGGACATGGGCTCAACTAGGCGCAGATCTAGGAGGGCATCGACACACTACAGGTTTCCGCTGAGTGCAAAGTACGCGAGGTCGCTGCCTTGCTTGGCTGCCAAGTTTAAGAGCGAATCCTTCGTCCAGCAGTGCGGTGGCAAGAGCGGCGACACCTGCAAGTAAGCATTCCATCACATAATCACCCTGCCTGGGTTATGGTAGCTGTAGCAATCACGGTGATAAATTTAGCTATAGATTAGCTGAACTCTTGATGCTCTAGAGTTCAGATTTCATAGTGTAAATTCTACTACGATGTTGAGGATTTTCAGGAACCAACTATTGTGCTTAGCTTCAGCTCAAATAGAGGGTTAATGGGTTCGGTAGATGATTACTAGGTTTTGGGCCCCTTAATCTAGAATTTCTTGCTTTTCATTTGTTGGTCCCTTGCACATGTAGGAAAACGACATTATGATGCATGTGCCATGTACTATCATTTCACCTGAATGAGAAAAGGTTTGATTGAAACAAGAAATTTAGAGTCAATGCTCTCTGGTGATACTAAGTTACTCTATAAATGAACCTCTGAACTCTAATTCCCAAAAATAACAGATCATACTAATTTATGTGTCCTACCTTGGCTTAATTTGGGTCAAGTAAATTGCATTGATCGTTCTACTATTAGCACTCAATAGTCTTAGGGGCTTAATTCAGGGTTCTATTTTGCCTCTAATATTCCATAGGTAAGTAGTGTGGTCTGAGTTTAGATCCTACACGTCATGCACAATGCTAAGTGCTGAGGTAGAAGAGTTCATTGGAAATTGATTGGTAGAGCCATTTCAATCGATAGCGTGAGCTTGTTTGCGCCATGGAGGACTAATTTACTGTGACCCATTGTATAGTTGTTTTCTTGTGTGGTTTACATGACACATGGTCTGCAATAATGTTCAACATTTATGTACATAGACTGCTGGTAGAAACTAATTAAAATATCAAATTATCAATCCTCCCACCCTTCCTACTAGAGCATAGGATGGTGAGGAAAATAAGCAACTTGGATACACTATAAGTAATGGGAAGTAGCACCACAGTTTTGATTTTGGCACTTCATTTTCGGGAAGTGGTGGCAATGATAGGATCATAGGAGTCATGGGAATATCAAAATAAATCTTTCGCTGGAATTATTTATTTTGATAATCTGACTAATAGCTGAAGAGTGCACTGAACTGGAGGAGATGAAATGCTGAGAGGCATTAGCATATACATCTCACCCAATATTTCTTGGACACACTTCTATATGTTGTTTATCCTTCTTTGTATACCTTCTGCATTGTCTCTGAATGAACTACTTATTAATTTTTGTAAATTCCTTTAGACACAACAGTGCATTTCTTCTTATTTGCATACAATAAATTCTGAAGTTCGAGTTTTCCTTCAGTCAGACAGTCACAACATGGAATTTATTCTTGCTTGCAGATCACCAGTTCTGAAGTTTGAGTTCACACTAAAGGTTAGTTCTACTCTTGGTTACAATCTTCACGTATCGTTGTCAGAGATGGAACTGAAATTTCTTCTGTTGGCGCTTCGTCTACTTTTTATAAGTGTGTAGAATTATGTAATATAATGCTGATTTATGTGTGAGCAACACGCTCTGCTTGTAGCTTTCTTTTGAAGATGACAAATATTTTGTTTGTTTTTTTAAGTCTCCTTATCCAATAATTTGTGTTGGGCTCGAGGTACCTATGGATTTATTACTTAATTCTTATAGAACTTAGGTATTCATTTCTTTGCTTGCATTAGCTTCTCAGCAATGGTTTCTTTGGTGAACTTGAACAATAAAATTATTGTGCTATTTTTATCTATTTGACTTTGACCATGGGTTTTTTTTCCTGACATATCTATGTGTGATATCTTTCATGCAAATTTTCCTGACATATTAGAGCAACAAGGGAGCTTCAACTGCATCTTAGAATTACTTCAGTGATGTGAAGTTCCTCTACATTTGTTAAGTGTGATTATTTATTTCATAACTACCTATATTAATTTATTACAGATCATATCTCATATCGTGACTCTTGCCAAGAGAACAATAATTGTAATTGGCTGTTGTGGGAGTTTTCAGGTTTTTTTTCTTGATCATCATGGCCTTTAGCTTCCACTATTGTAGCTTAAGAAAAATGATCCACTTTCGAACCACTTCTAGAAAAATGCAGATGGGGCTTCGTTGATGTTGTGTAATCGCCCTATTTTGTGTGCATCGAACTTACAGAAAAAACATTGGCTCCATTTTGCAATCTGGGTTAAAGCGTATCGCAAGTTTACATGTACATTTCTCAAGTAGATGCCCACCTTCCTGATGAGATATTTTAGCAAATCATGTGCTCTGATCCCTGTAATTTTATTATTGAATCGAGTACTTTGATCCATGTCCCTGTAACTTTGTTGTTCAACCATTCTTTGATCAGCATGTCACTCTGAAAAAGTAGGAAGCCAATATGCGATTCATGTGTGGACACAATGAAGCGAAGGTTGGTTAGCATGCGAGATGTGGGATAATTAATTGTTTTCTGGATGGGATGGGTTAAAAAATAAATTTATTTAATTTGGGGTTGGGTGGAAATGGAGTGGGTTCTAGGCCATTAGCAGGCTACTAGCAACATACGAACCCATCTAATTACCTCATGAAATTTCGTATTGCACCTGTTGCATCGCACGGACAATATATATATATATATATATATATATATATATATATATATAAACAAACTAGGATCATGCTGGTACATTGCAACGGAAATAAAATAATACCAATATATATATATATATATATATATATATATATATATATAACTGCTACTATGAGGCTGAGTGGCCGGAGCTTCTCGGAGGAGATGCGTTCGTGATGAGGATAGAGGCAGCTGAGAGAAAGCAAAAAGGTGGGATGTGGGACCCACGAGATGATAGAAGAAGCTTTAAGCTAGACTGTTGGATAGGAATACAGGATATATATATATATATATATATATATATATATATATATATATATATATATATATATATATATATATATATATATATATATATATATATATATATATATATATCATAGATTGCCACATCACTTAAGAGATAGAAATACTGTCGGATAGGAATACACGATGTCTTATGTACTCCTATAAATATATATATATGAGAGATAGGAGTACATGAGACATCCTGTATTCCTAGATTGCCACATCACTTAAGAGATAGGAGTACTGTCGGATAGGAATACACGATGTCTCATGCACTGTGCTCACGCTGGCTTGCTGAGCTCGCACGCCGCCGCCACCGCATCTGGCCTCTGCCATCCCACGGTCGCCTCGCATACGTCCTGCAGGCGCCGCACTCCATGCGTTCGAGCCGTGGCCGTACGCGCCCCTACCGTTGTTGCTGCCTTCCCGTCCCTCGGCACCGGTCTGCCACTGCTACACGCCGGCGGCCTCGCCCCTCGCCGCCGTGGTTCATCGCTAGCGGCCTCCTCCCTCCCCACCGGTCCGTTGTCGAGGCCGCCGCGCCGGCTGTGGCCCTCCCCTTGCGAAGAGAACGAAGCGGAGAGAGAAGAGACAGAGGGGAACGGAGTCGCGGCTTCGTGGGATGTGCACGTGGGTGGGCCCGCATGCCTCGTACTGGGTTCGAGTATAGCGCCCAAACAAGAGCTAGCTCTTCAGTTTTTTTTCTCTTCTCTCACCTCCACCTAAGCAAAACGATGACGTGGACTTCTAAGAGCTAGCTGACTAGACGCGGTTGCGGGTGCCCTAAAGTAGACGTACTAAACTGAAAAGATGTCCATGTCACCAAACCCAGTCTGGCATGCATGGACCAATCCTCTAAAATAGCTAGAGTCTAGAGATAAGACGACGGCAAGTAACTGGGACGGAGAGATACCACGTCAGAAAAAATCACTACACATTCAGCAAAGGATGCAATGTATCACTAGCAATGCATTCCCGCATAAAACAGGCACAGATAGATCTTGCAGCCAGTGAACCCCCGCACAGATGATCCATATAGGGCCCCTCATACAAATTAGAGGATCTGTTTACATACAACCAATAGAACAAAACAATAGGAAAGATCGAACTCGAAAAAAGATTTATCTCCCTCCAAGAAATAGCATGCAAAAACGATACAATAAATGAGTAGATCTTGCCTGCCTTCGTGACACCAGGGACTCCGTGGATGCCAGAATCGTTGTCTTGTCCGCATCCGAGGCGCCGATTACATCTGTTAAACAGATAAAACAATAGGTAATAAAGAAAGCCACAGGAAGCCGCCGACTAGATAGATCTGTTAAAACACCACAAACCAAAGAACCAACCGAGCCCTGGCACGAACGAATCCACATCTAAGATACGCCGAGAGCAGAAATGATACCTGCTTGGCCAGTTGACCGGCGGCGGCAACATCTCGGTGAGCGTCGCAACTTCATGGACGGATCCAGCGGTATGGCATGGTCTGGCGGCCGCCACACCATAACGCCGTGGGCTACTAAGCCGTTGTCATCGGTTGCTACGGTGGAATTTATAGGTGAAGACGACATGTACGAAGCACACCAGCACAACTATTTGGACCTGGCGTCCTGGCCAACAATGACCCACGAGTCATAAGATGGGCCATGTTCCTGTGCCCTCACAACCCTAAACCCAAAACCGCATCTGTAGATTTGCTCGTGCCTCCACGACCCGGTTAGTGCTTACGCTACCGGAGACGGCTTCTTTGTCGAGTGTCCTAGACTTTGCCGAGTGCTTTTTATCGGGCGCTCGGCAAAGAAGCTATTTATCGAGTGCCAGAGAGAAAGCACTCGGCAAACAACTGGCACTCGACAAAGAGGTGGTCTGCCGAGTGCCGAGCACTCGGCAAACAATAACACTCGACAAAGATCAGGTTTGCCGAGTGTCAGGCACTCGGCAAACCAGAACACTCGGCAAAGGGCCGCCGTCGTTAACAGTCGGCAGCCGCCGTTAACCCTTTGCCGAGTGTCTTCTCCTGACACTCGGCAAAGCGGTGATTTGCCATGTGTTATTTTTTGACACTCGACAAACCATATTTTTTTCACTTTTGACCTCCAAACTTTTTCTGCAGTCCTGATACAATACCTGGTACTTCATATTCTAATGTGGCACATTTCTCGGACTTTTTCTATA